GAGCAGTAGCAGATACAGGTAGCGTATGCACAGGAGTTTGCAGTATTTATAGAATACAGTCATTACTGCACACATACACCGACAATTAACTGTATTTGCCTTTTTGTGTGTGTATAATTTGTTGAACGGCATGCGAGTTCTGACCTGGTGAACTTTCATGACGCGTGGTGAACTCGGGCGTGATGATTGCTCGGCCATCTGACCCTCCGGTGTTTCGAAACGTCAGGCGAATAAAAGTATTGTCCCAGCGATCGAGTCGTCTTCTTCTCAATTACTTCCTCGGACTCGCATGTTCGCTTGTATTGAGATGGGTATGATGTCCAAGTACTGCTCGTGCGCAGCGGAATTCAGTCGCAATCGTCAACCGTTTTTATGTGGAAATTGTAAGAGTTAGCCAGATGTTGAGGCATCGTTGCATTGTTACAATCATAATTTTCTGCCTTCGCAAATTAAGGTGCAGCCTTGGAATTAATTCCTCCAGACAACGATTTTGGGGCTGATGGGAGTATGGTGCTCGACCTCCTGAACCACATCTGAAGGAGCGATTAATAATTTTGATTTTACAGATCTTTCGCAAGCTGTTTGTGCACGCAATTTTACTCTCTCCCTATGATTTCGTTTGAATAGCCTCTATCCCTCTTTGTTTTTCTTTTTCAGCGGATCGCCCACAAACATAAACAGGTGAGTTTCCTCTCTCTTTTCAGCCCACATACTACATGGTGAACTGTCTTTTCCAAGAGTACATTTAGTCTGCTTTGTGCCTCTACAGCAATTCACAGTAACTGCGAGAGCATGGGCAAAGCCACGGTCAAACAGTTTTTGATGGGCGATAGCATTTATAGTTTCGATTTGTGTGACCTACGTCCTTAAACGAGTGCTTCGAATACTTTTTTTCGTTCTTATGGTATGTCAAAAGTGAACCCTTACAAACTTATAATGTAGCTAACGCATCCCAAAACCATTAGTCTGGAAGGTTTTTAACTGTTGAAATAACATATTGTGGTCTACTGGTGCTCTACCGTGAATTATTACAGTGCACCTAGGTGAGACCTAAATTAAAGTACTTGGGTCTTCTGCAATGGACGCCCAACAAACGTTTGGCGTGCTCAGATAGCGGCATTATGCAATTATAGCCATTGTCCCACAGCGAAAGCAGATGCGACTCAAGTCATCACTGTCCTCGCTCCTCTTCGGTTCCAACTGAAGAACTACCAGCACGATTGCAACGACAAAACTGGTAGTTTTTAGTACCTTCTTTTCGATCTGCGTCTTAAGATGTTTCTCCCTGAAAGACTGGAGTGCTTGTTCAGTAAGGTATACACGATGGGGATAAACACTAAGGTACTTCTCAAACTCTCGTTAGGCTATGTGTTGTAGACATTCAAAGTTTCTTTTGTCTTATCTTTTTTTGTCTTTTTGCAGCCCGGTCTGCTCAAACAACTTAGCAAAGTGCTCGGCAAGGGCAAACCCCACAACCCCACGTAGTCAGGAACGAACGAACCGATGTCTATTTGCCCGTATGATTTGAATGTGATTCTCTGTCATCCCCAGCATCGAGGGTATATCTTAAGCCCTTTCGCACACGCGAAACTCAACGCCCCACTCCTATCTTACCCCTTTTGTTGACAGACCCCTTCGACGGTATGCAAGTTGACGTTCGTTTTTTTATTTTTGTATCTTTCTCATATCTCTGGTATCAAACGTGTGCATCGTTGTTTTCGTATGACTTCGACGATCCCTCTCACCTAATAAACTCTTTTTATTCTAACCTCTCACTGTCCCACAACTCCATGGAGAAATAAATTTCAATTAATGTGTCTCTGGGGGATTATAGTCTATTTAAAGTACTTATGCCAGTTATCTAACATATTTTGTCCTACCTTGCTCGCATGTTCCTTTCTGAGTGCACAAACGTTTGTTGCATTGG